CCCCCCCCCCCCCCAACCTTTATCTCTAGAGAAGTAACCCTTATAAACAATGTTGGCATTCAAGAGCAGTCAAATGACACTCTAGAAAGACATACTTTTCAAAGTGAACTTATAGAATTGCTAAAACATGCATGAATTGCACAGGCCTGTCACCATTATTTTATCCAACAGCACTTGACATATTGGTAAAAATCCTAGATACATTGAGGTTTTTCAGGCAGGCATCATATTTCAATAATAATGTTTGCGTGCTGATTACTAGCTAGTTCAGTGCAACCCAATGACGACGGAAATGAGAACTTGATCAAAAGAAAAACTCTGAACGTGCAGCACACTTTTTGGCAGGTTTCAATGCTGTCATTGCCCAACTAACATAATTTGTCAACTTTGACTGAAATGGCAATGTGATCAACACTTAAATTAAATCTCGAAGATTGTCACTTCATCAATGATGCTTGCCACAACTTTAATTTTGCCACAAATATCCATACGGAGGCTTTACATTGTAAGGCAAATCACTCATCCTTCCTCATTCTAGCTGTGGTCCTGAAATCTTTCTGATCATTTTTTTTTCTGCAGGTTTGCGACATTTGAATATCTGAAAAATAACATGATGGATGATAAGGGAAAACTTACGCAAATGCAGACACTAACGTGCGGTTTAGGAGCAGGGGTAATGGAAGCAGTGGTCATTGTTTGTCCAATGGAGACTGTCAAGGTCAAATTCATTCACGATCAGACCCAACCAAACCCAAAGTATAAAGGTTTTTTCAGTGGTGTTGGGACAATAGTAAGACAAGAAGGTAAACTATCAGTAGAGGTGTAAACCTTTTATAATAAATTATGGTCACCTGTCTATAAGTGGATGCTGAGGTGCCTGGGCTGTGCTCTAGCAGAGCCCAGTGGCCCCTGGTGCCCAGATTTGCTCTTGAGCGACTAGGAAATTGTAGTTTTTTCACACAAATCAGATGCTGGGCACCCTTCAATTTTCCCAAGAGCACTGGGCCTTGGGTAGCCTGAATTTCAGACGAGAACTTCGAGTCGTTTTCACTCCCTCAGTAACGTTTGAATCAAGCAGTGGTTAATGCAGTCCAGTGACGTCATTACTCCTATGCTTTAATTCATGCAAAAAGTAAAACATGATTCTTAACTGGAAAGCAAGAAATATCATTGAGAAATGTCTGCATGATAAAGAATTGCTTTACCCTTTTCGATCATAATTCATTTTTAACGTTCAAACTGTCAACTGCCTGCAGTACTCTGAACCAGTTCTAATTCAATAATCAAACTCCAGAATCAAACTCAATCGCAATCATGCAATGAAATAAATACACATTAACGGCCGGTCGACTCAGATGTTGCTTAGAAGAGAACACGCCTTGAAGCAATTGTCTGAAATTCAGGCTAGGCCTTGGGGGGAATCAAAAGCAGTAAGTGTCTATCTTTAGGGAGGTGTCCATATTATTGAGAGTCTAATATCTTAGCACTTCAACCCTTAATATCCACATACACATTCTGCCAACTGATCTGCTTTACTTCCATGAAGAATTTACCGGTAGTTATGATAATTTGATAAATGATCAAAGCATTTTCCCTTGATGATCATTTCATTAACTTCCATATTTCCCTAATTTCTCTTGATAATGTATTAAATAAATAGTGTTAAGAGAAAATTGATGTTGGTCTGTCTTGGAACTTTAAAGGGTTAAAACAAAGTTGATTGTCTTCCTGAACTATTATTTACTACTACTTAAAACATGGATTGTGGCTGTCACAATTCTCTCCTCCTTTTCTGTCAATTGTTGGTGCCTTCTGAGAGGATTATCGCCAGTTTTTGGGCCATGTTGCTTGTTGCTTCTACCCCTTGCTGAAAAATAAAATGCACTAATATCCAGTAACAATGTCTGGACAGGGCTTGGTGGAGTGTACAAAGGGTTAACAGCAACCGTCATCAAACAAGGAACCAATCAAATGATCCGGTTTTTTGTGTACTCCAATCTGAAGAACTACCTTCAAGACGGAGACCCATCTAAGGACATTGGTTCCATACGTACATTCATCATTGGTGGCATAGCTGGAGCAGCTAGTGTGTTTGGCAACACTCCAGTTGATGTTGTCAAAACAAGAATGCAGGTAGGTAACAAAATCCCTCCTGTCCCTTCCCTATTTTTATATGAAAGGGGCGTGGCTACTTAGGTAAGTAGTACCCCTAATTAGTCGATTGACCATATTCCAAATACAAATACCAGTAAATAAAAAAAACTCTCAAAAACACTTTTCTAGCATTCACTGCCTTGTAAGATCTAGAAATGAAGGTAGAATGTGTTATGCCATTATTCATATTCCTAACTCTACTTAATGGCCAGCAAACATGTTCTCAGCATTAGCTAGTGTAAAAAGTTTTAACAGTACATTTTACCTTTTTTTGTAAAGGGTCTTGAAGCACACAAATACAAGAACACCCTAGACTGTGTGATGAGAATTATACGATATGAAGGGCTCAAGGCGTAAGTAAATTATTACAGTTATTTTTGGTTTTAAAATTATACTTTTTCAAAGACAATAAATGTTCTTAATAATAATTTTACAAGACATGTAATTTCTTTATTAAAGAGGGGCTAATACCAACTTAGCTTGTAATATAATTGTTGTTTGTGTTGTTTACCCACAAAGCTGTTAAGAGTCCTTAAGAACTTGTTTAAAAATGCCCGTATATTCCAGATCGAATTGGAATTAATAAGTGTTGGTTTTTAAGGAGAGGGGAAAACCAGAGTACCCAGAGAAAAAGCTCTTGTAGCAAAGGAGAGAACCATCAACAAACTCAACCCACATATGGCATTGACACCGGGATTTGAACCTGGGTCACATTGGTGGGAGGCAAGTGCTATCACCACTGCACCTGACTTGTCCCCAGTTGTCTTTGGGTAGCAGAGGCAGGGGATGATGGGAAGGGAAAAGGGAGGAAGACCTCTCTCTCCCTTGCTTTCCTCCAAGAAATACCCATTTAGAAAACATTTTGAATAAAAATGTCTACATTTACATTTCTTTCCACAGATTTTACAAGGGAACAGTGCCCCGGCTTGGCAGAGTTTGTTTTGATGTGGCCTTTGTGTTCACTTTCTATGAAAATGTCATGAAGCTATTGGACTATGTTTGGGAAACCAATTAATTAGCCCTTAAATCTATTCTTCACGTCATTGCTAATTTTAATGATTTTATTATTACCATTAATTATCCCTATTACTGACACAGACAGTTTTGGANAGATCGAATTGGAATTAATAAGTGTTGGTTTTTAAGGAGAGGGGAAAACCAGAGTACCCAGAGAAAAAGCTCTTGTAGCAAAGGAGAGAACCATCAACAAACTCAACCCACATATGGCATTGACACCGGGATTTGAACCTGGGTCACATTGGTGGGAGGCAAGTGCTATCACCACTGCACCTGACTTGTCCCCAGTTGTCTTTGGGTAGCAGAGGCAGGGGATGATGGGAAGGGAAAAGGGAGGAAGACCTCTCTCTCCCTTGCTTTCCTCCAAGAAATACCCATTTAGAAAACATTTTGAATAAAAATGTCTACATTTACATTTCTTTCCACAGATTTTACAAGGGAACAGTGCCCCGGCTTGGCAGAGTTTGTTTTGATGTGGCCTTTGTGTTCACTTTCTATGAAAATGTCATGAAGCTATTGGACTATGTTTGGGAAACCAATTAATTAGCCCTTAAATCTATTCTTCACGTCATTGCTAATTTTAATGATTTTATTATTACCATTAATTATCCCTATTACTGACACAGACAGTTTTGGAAACATAATATATTTGTGTTCTAACTTTTAAGATTGTGGTTGAAAATGCTAACAGTATGTTTTGGTCATCTAGAAGTTCTTTAAAAGTTAGTATTCTTTTGAATCTTAATAATAATATATTTTTTGTATCATTTGGGCTTTTAAGAATTTAAGCATGAGGAAAAATCACCTTAAACGATGATCATGTAATTACTTCTGAGTTTTTCCAGGCTTCCATTATTACACCACTGATATTTAATCTTAGGTTTGATTTGATGCTTGTCACTTTAGAAAGCATCAAGGGTCTTTTGGAATGTACATTACTGTAGTGTAAAGTTATGTTTTCAGCTTGAGGAATTTCACTTTTTTGGAGCCATCAATAATAAGGTTTCTAGAGCAGTTAATGCTTAAATAATAACAGTAAATTGTAATATTTGTTAAGAAACCAGAACTTTATACATCTAATTGCAATTCCCCAGACATGGACATATTTAACTGCATCCTTTTGCTGTGTAAACAAAAACTTACAATAATGTTATGCTGAGACATAATGGTGGATTTATAAGTTGTGACAAACAATATTATTTGTAACTTTGGAAAGTACTGTATTGAAATTTTTTACTGAAATATTTTAATGGTAGGGCTGTCACGCAGATTTCATGTGGGAAATGGAGCAGCTAGGAAATTTGTTTCTTTATGTTCCTTTTGTTTCCTGTGACAGTAGCCAGTGGTCATGTTTGTAGCCAACCCAACCCTTAGTGGCAGACCTGACCTTTTTGGTTCAAAAGCAGTGAGTCAGTAACATATAGATATGAAAGATACAACACAAGGCTGTGCTTGAAGGAAAATATTATTGAAAGTAGCCCAGTGCTTTGAACCTGTAAAATCTAGGGTGCTAAGCATGTGATTTCTAAAAAATATGTAAGATTATGCCACTGTTATAATGGGAGGGTTACGTGTAGAATGGTAAATCCCAGACTTGGTGAGACTGTGAAACTCTCGTTTTAAAATCCAAGGATGAAAGGACTTTTCCTTTTTTATCAAATCACAGACCAGGATGTTACACTTTTGTGAGGGAAATCGAGCTCTAGTTACTGAAACTCTAAGAGCTAAAAAGTTTTGAAACAAATCCTTCTTCAAAATGTAACTAAAATTTTGAAAGGGATTAGAGTGTGAGCACTATTTTATCCTTTCACGATACTTGTGAATTTAACCTTGTTGTATTGTGAAGCTGCCTGCTGAAATTTGCTGGGACAAACGTATCTTATGTTGCATAGGTATAAACAAGATAGTGCAGACCAAAATAAAGAGACCCAGAGACCTCTATTTTCAAATTTCAAGGTGGTTGAATATCCTTGATATTCCAAGACTTGTTAAATGCTTAGTAGAAACTGGGATAAAACTTTGCAAAACTCACCAATTTTGGATAGACCACTGTATACTCCTAATGGGGTACATAATGTCACGTACTATTTCATATATTTTACTATCACTAGGGCAAAGAATGTCATTATTATTCTCCATCTTCACATTTCCATAATGTTCTTTGTTTGCTGACCAAATATTACATTTTAATATTATTATTTCTCTTGGGACTTACAAACATTCCACGAGAAACTAAACATAATATATACCTGTGCAAATATTTTGGGGGACAAACAATGCAAAAAGCAGAAAAAAGTTGGAGAATGCAGAGGTTTGTCATATCATATTAGCATTTCCTGTTGAAGAGTTACCAAATCTGGGACATATCCTCTTAAAACTAAGGAAACAACGTCTTTTTATTTCAATTAAGTGTTAAATATGGTTAATAAAGGTATAACAAGGGCAACTTGTAATGTGGTGCTGATCTGTTTGTTTTACGAGGTTATTTTCATTTCAATAATATATAAAACAAAAATATTATTGTGTAGGTGCTTGTAAGTTGTATTTTTGTTCTCCCACTCATTTAGAGCATGAATCAAAGTATAAATTTGGATGTTTTCATTTAGAAATCAATAACAGCCTATTTGGGTGATTTTTACTGCAAACATATCATTTTAAGTGCTAGGTATAACTGCACCATACTCTTCATCTGTTTCGATACCAATGTCCTCCTGAAAGGCAAGGAAATGGTCTTAAAAATAGCAATCACAGTATAGAAAGTTTGACCATCATGTAAACAGAGCCTTTTTTGATGTGGGGATTTCACATTATTTCATATTGTTCTTTGCTTCCTTTGCTCTTAAAAGCAAGAATTCCTGAAGAGCATCGCTATCAAGTCTTTAAGAATTTTGCCAAGATTAACAGACTGGTTTTGACAGTCATGCTCGCTGACAGTCAGAAAAATGTTTGGGATGATTCGCAGCAAGGTGTCAATAAGGAAATAAATCTTGAGATCAAAAAGAACTTCAAAATACATTCAGTTCTGAATGGATGAAGTCCAGGTTTGGGTTGTTGCACCAGTAAAATCACTATCCAGCAAATAAGTTTTAGGCAAACCAACTCTGAACAGTGTTATCCACCGGATAGAGATTTATCCTATGGATAGTGTTATTCATGTTTTGAACAAAAAAAAAATGCACTTTATTTGAGTGTCAATGTATTTAGCACAAAAGCACTAATTGGGGACACTATATTTTTACATCTCCTACTGGAGATGGGACCGCCATTTTACATGGTCATCTGAGCCACGTGAAGGTCTAGCCATTTGCAGGGAAAAGGCAGTACCTCCATTTCTCAGTCATTTTAAGAGCCTGAGTGTTGGTCCGATCCCGGGAATTGAAGCCGTGACCTCCCGCTCTGCAGTCAAGCACTCTACCGGTTGAGCTAATCCTGCCGTGGTCAAAACAACTAGGCCCAGTTACCATTATTACTGGTACCTTTGTTCAGTACCTGTACATTTGAACAGTTGAACTCCCACAAAGAAGTGAGACGAGGTGTGAAGAGTTATAGATGTATGCCTTCAGACTCAAAATGCGAGCAGTGTTACAACATCAAGTTGAAGCTTGAATTGTGGAGAGATTGCTCACCTCCTCCCTCAATTTGCTTATCTGTGCTACCATCCAGGGAGAGGAGAAGTCGTTATGTCACATTGCCATGGTAGCAAAATTTGCATGACAACAAACCGAAAATTCACATAAAAAGTAAAGTCGCACTGTTTCAAACTTCATCGATCTTATTCAACTTCATTTAATTTGTCAAATGTTGGCGAAATTTTCTGTTATGTGTTCACGTGAAATTAGGAAGTTTCATGTTGTGCAACGATCGCTAAAAAATGTGCAAAAAAGCGTGATCTGCGGGCAAAGTTGCCGTTTTACAATATAAACTTATTGCTTTTCTTGCCGTTTTTGTTGCTGTCGCCGTCTTTGTTGCCTAAGCTCCCTTTTGTTGCTATCCAAAAATTTTGCTACCATGGTAACGTGACATCACACTTCTCCTCTCTATTAATTTCAAACTACTAATTAAATTTACTCTAATTCTTGTAATTAAATACTTGTAGCAAAAAGATTGTCACTAATGTTTTCCGGACTGAACTTGCTGTGCCTGTAATAACCATGCTCTGTGATGTGGTCATTAATTAACAGCAGTAAATTTTGTCTGCACGCAGCACAGACTATTTGTCACTAAATGGAACTTACAAAGAGTTGTTTCTTTGGCTTGGGATATCCCTCCAGGATGCTATTTAAAATTTCAGTTGCCTGAAGAGGAAAATATACAGAATTGGAATACAAAGTAAACAATGATCCATAAATAATCATAAACGTCACCAGTGAGAAAAACCACTTTCCTACCATTCTCTTTCTTTTTCTCCAGGACTGAACATATAGTTTGTGTTCTTTGTGGATCTGAATTTTAAGATTCAAAATAAAAGCAAGTTCACTGAGACAAAAGTACTTGAAAATAATGACCATTTATCAAATATCATTAGACTTAAATTACTAACAAATTCAGTTGTCTAACCTTATCCTTTTCCTCTGGAGTAACATGGTTTGAGGCTAAAACGAAAATTTTGAAAAAGTTATCTTTAGCATTAAAAAAGACAAACTTTAGGGACTGAAACACTTACATTGATAACCAAATGCCAGGGGCAGGGTTGCCAGAAAGTTTTAAAGAAGACTGCTGAGTTGTCAAAGTAAGCGACCAGTCCAGGGATATTTTAAAAAACGCCACCCATAAAGAAATGCCAAGCAGAGTAGCCGGCCTATACTAACCAAGTAGGCGGTGATTTTCGCCGGCAGCCGGCTACTTTTGACAACTCTGTAGGGGTTAGTCACCCTATTGGACAGCTGTAATTCAAGCTGCCAAAACATCTTAAAGATATGACCAGTTATTAAAAGAATCCCTAAAAAACTTGTAACTCTCATTTTAATTTTACAGAGGAAAACTATAACTTTACAAATACTATCATTGTAAAAAATCATTATCTTACCAGACTTGATGTTCTTGATTCGTTCCTGGTATTTGTTGCACTGAAAGACATCATTTGTCATTTTTATGTGAAATGCTGTAATTAGCTTGGAGGGCAGCAAAAATACACCCAGGGGGCTAGGCCTTAAGTACCCTGATTGATGGGCCTACTCTTCCAGGAGGGTAAAATTTGTGGGTTGGTACCTCTTAAGGTCAAGTAATACTGGCAACATTTTCGCTCAACTTGTCATGCAACATTGTTGCATTGCAAGTTAAAAAGCATTGTTGCTCGTATTACCATCTTCGATCTCAACTTATATAATGCAACAAATTTCAATGTTGCAAGTTGCAGCTCATTTAGAAAATCCTGTGCTGTGATTGGTCTACGGTGTGTTTTGTGTCAGCATTTCTAAGAAGGCAAGGAATAGCTACCCTTCAGGCCTTGGTTTAGGACGAGGAAGGTCAAAACAATGCAAAAGAAGCCGAAAGGTTTACATAATAGAGTGGATTGTTTTGCGCAAAGAGAGGGGGCCTTACCA